CCCTCACCTGCCGAGGAGCCCCCGTCAGCCACCCCACTCGCAACGGACAGCCCCGTCACCTCTGACCGCCCTGTGGTGAAGGGCGGCCCCGGGGCGGTGGTGCCCCGTGGTTATGGGGAACCCGGAGGCATCGGCTCCTCCATGGGCACCCCGGAGTGCAGGGAAACCTGGGGGCATTTGCGTACCCCCATCCCCGATCAAAGGGCTTCTGGGCACCCCAGAGTGCAGGGAAACCTGGGGGAATCCGGGTACCCCCATCCCAGGCCAAGAGGGACTCCTGGAAGCCCAGAGGACTCAGCTGCCTGGGGCGCGGGGCAACGCGGAGCCTTCGGTTACCCCGCGGTGCAGGAGGATCCTTGGACTCTGCCTGCCCAGTGGAGCAGGGCAGTACCCAATGGTTACCCAGCCATGCAGGGTGGCCCGCAACAGACGGGTACCCAGGGTGAAGGGGGACCTGGAGGCTTCGGGTCCCTTACGCAGGGCAACCCGGGGAATTCAGGTCCCCAAAGGCCAAGAAGGCCCTGGAGGCTCCGGGCACCCCATGGGGCTGGGCAGCTTGAAGGGGACGGGAGCCCAGGCCGGTGCAGCAGCCACAACCTCCCTGTCCCACCACAGCCCTGGCACGAGGGGCTGCTCCTCAGGTGGGCACGGGCTCCCGTGCCCCCCGGGCGTCCCACGCTGGCCACAGGGGACACATCAACACCCAGTGAGGACAAGGGACAACTCCTGGTGAAGGACGGACTTGTGGCCACCACCTTGGGCCAGCTCCCAGCCCCACCACCCCGCAGCACCTGGAGATACCTGGCGGGCCCCGCTGGTGCTGGGGGCTCACGGGGAGACCCCCTGCACCCCATAGGGCCTGCAGGAGCCCTGCTGCCCTCGGAGCCCATTTCGCGGTGCCCAGGGGCCTCATAGGGCAGCGGGGACCCGGCTCTTACCGCCTCCGACTTGGGCGGCACGGGGGGCGGCGCGTCCCCGAGGGGCTGGTCCCCGGGGCGGCGCGGGGAGCCCCGCGGGGCCGCGGCCCCCGAGCAGAGCAGGTCGCGGCGGCCCCCGTGCGCGCAGCCCTCGCCGCTCGCGTTGCCCCACAGCTCCTCGTAGGGGATCTCCGGCGGCTCCGGGCTCCTGCCCTCGGCCCAGGCGGGCGCCACGTACTCCGTGTCGGGCTCGGCGGGCTCGGCGCCCGGCGCGCCGCGGGCCACGCAGAGCGAGAGGCGCCGCAGCGGCTGGCCGAGCCCCTCGCAGCCCTGCGGGCAGAGGCGCAGGCGCCGCGGGCTGCCGCGCTCCCCGGCGAGCTCGGGCCCGGCCTCCCGCACCGCCCTGGAGTACTGCTCGGCGTCGAAGCGCTCGCGGCAGAACGCGGCGCTGTCCCGCAGCAGCTTCTCGAGGCGCGGGTCGCCGCCGAGCAGCCCCTCGGGCAGCTGGAAGCGGGGCATGTCGGCGAGCAGCAGGAAGTGGAAGGGCACGAGCGCGTCGCGGCGCAGGATGCAGCACAGCACCACCGTCTTGGAGACGATGCCCACGAGCTTGTAGCGGTGGCCCTCGCGGATGGCGTGCAGGTCGTAGGGGTTGCGCGCGGGGCGGCTGGGCACGGCCACGTTCACGGGCAGCCGCACCTTCTCGATGATGCTGCGCACGGTGTGCTCGCCCTCCTGCAGGCGCAGCTCCAGCGGGCTGCGCGTGCTGAAGCGGCCCTTGCACTGGAAGGGCAGGCTGAGGCTCTCGTTGGTGCGGTGGTTCATGCAGACGAGGCAGGGCATCTTGCCCTTGGCGGGCCGCCCGCCCGCGGGCGCCGCGCGGCCCAGCCGCCGCAGCAGGCTGCCGAGGCGCCACCTYTCCTTGCCCGCCTTGGCGCACAGCAGCTCCGCCTGGCCCATGAGCGTCAGCTCGTCGCCCGCGTGCAGCGTGAAGTTGTAGACCTCGCTGTCCTCGCTGAACTCGCCCGACACCACCTGGGAGCAGCGCCTGAGCGGGGCRGCCGCCCGGGACCCGCCAGCACCCAGCGCCTGCAGCACCCGCCAGCCCGCCCGGCTCATCGCCCTCTCCAGAGCCCCTCTGATGGCCCGCTGCCACCCCCGATGTCCCACTGCCACCCCATCATGTCCCATCACCACCCCCAATGTCCCACTGCCACCCCGTCATGTCCCATCACCAGCCCCTCATGTCCCACTGCCACCCCC